AAGTTGCTTGTCAAATTATATGACGACTCCCCCCTTCGTTGTTATCCCTGACTCTTCTGACCAGAAACATATCACTTATACTGATTTCGTTGTCGGTGTTGGTGGGAGTTAGCCAAGTTTCAGTAAGGATAATTATTTTAAGGTGTAGGTGTGACTGCAGTTTTCTGAGTTCGCTTACTTTCCCACTCAGCCCTCACACACTGCTTTATAGGCGGCTTACATTGAGTCTCACAAACTCAGTGTGTTGTGGGGTAGTTGACGTGAAGCTGTCTGCTGGTAAGGGACTTAATATTGAGACTAGTTGGCCGATTGCCTTAGAACCGGCCCGTTGTCGTCTTCTTCCTCGCATCCGGGTAAGATACTTCAGTGGCACTGACTGTCATACTCAGCACCGCATCGCCGTAGTGTCACTGACGCTTAGGGGCGTATTAAGGTCCCAGTTTGCTGCCTCCTTATGGTTCGGGGTCTGCTCTCGCTCTTGATCTCGTACTAAGGCCAGCTGTTCCTGGGAGTTGAATTTTATACTTAGCAGCCTTGGGGAGCTAATCGGTGTGAGTTGAGCGTGGCCGGAGCGAGGTAACCGGGAATTCGAGACTGCTCCAGAAGCACCAAGGGCGATTTTAGATGATATCTATTTTCTTTGCTGCGCTTCATTAATGTTTTTCACAAGCAGTGCCAGTTTCCAGCTCCGGAACACCGTGTACGACCATAGAGGTAGAAGGCATCAGTTCCAGTGACTCTCTCGCCATTCGCCTGCTAGCCCATGGTCTATCGTGTTTCACCCTTATGCTAGAACTCTTGTCGATGGCTAGTAGTAGTATCCTTTCGGCCTCTTCATCGGATCTCAGTGTTACCCTTAATGAGGGTGACTTACCCTGAGGCTTGTAGACACCTCTGCACAGTCTGCAAAATTTCGCTGAACTAATGTTCAGACCTAATTTATTGCACAAGTTGGACAACTGTTCTTGATCAAACAGGCCCCGTTGTTCAAGCAAGCTATCCTTGCTCACAGGTACATCAAAAACGAATGAGAGAACAAGACTGACTGACGTCAGACTTAAGTTTGGCTTTTGGCTCCTTGTCCTACTTTGCAGGGTCAGTCACTTTTGGACTTCCTCGGGTCTTGAATAGCCTTGCTGTGTTGCCAAGCTTCCTAGCTGATGCACGTGGTGCTTTGGCAATTCCATTTTCCCCTGATGCAACCTTGGGACACTTTGTGAAAATTGGTATTTCCAGTCGGTTGGGTTGGAGTCTCCTTACTAATCCTTTTACCAAGTTTCGGTAGTGTGGAGATATTGGGTGGAGAGCTGCATGAAAGCGTGTCGAGATACAAGAGTGGCATGCTGTTTCCGCTATCCACAGACACGCTGTGTGGAACTGTGCCAGAGTGACGAATTGGGAAGATGTACCAGAACCATGGGCACGGGTTACTTTGCATGAACTCATAATATGGTTTTGGCACCCCTTTGTCACAACAGCAGCCTACCCATCGTTTGCGAAAGTTGCATCCAAATGCTGAATCAGTTTTGAAAACGACAACACTACAGGCCTGATAGTCGTCTCCTTTTCTAGATGATGCTTTCGAGGTCTTATTTTATTTTTTATTATTTTTTATTTTGATTACAGCTTGATGCCACACCGTATTTTCAGTACAAGTATGACATTTTCAGCATGGATATCGGTAGCCCAAATTTTGCAGGCTGACCATAGATATCGGATGTGCGTCGGTAGGGGTTCGAACCCCGGACCATGTGCATGGTCGGCGAGAGTCCTAACCACTGTGCCACCGACGTCTTAGGCGTTTCTTTTTTGTTTCGCCGTGTGTAACGCCCTGGCTTCCAATGTATACAGGTGTAGTATCATGTCCACTTGGTATTCCTTGTGCTAGTTCAATGCTAGACCGTGGCAATACAGGCGTAGTATTAAAAAAGGCGACATGTACACGTGTCTTTAGAATCAGTATGCGAGATGGGATTGATATCTCTGGGCTATTGTCTCATCTGGCTGAAGCCCTTGTGACTACAGAACATAGTGGTTTAGTGGTTCCTCTAAGGCTACTTTCAACAGCCATATTAACAGTCACCATAACTTATGCCACATAAGAATAAGATAGCAACAGTATCTATCCAATAGAAAAAGAATAAGACTGATTAAGTACAAGATAAGGAAAAGAAAAGGTTTTCGACTTTACCTAGTACTTTTTGGTTAATCGGCTTCACAGCAATCACGTGGTAGACCAACAAGTCTTGTTTATCTGAACAAGTGAGGGAGATGCTGCTACAAATCTAGCACCTGAAGTAGTTCGAGGCAGCTGGACTCGCCACACATATATTTGAAATGGAAGTAATGGCTGAAATGAATTCACCGGGTAGGAAGATCAGGTTCTTATATCATACAGAATATACATCTCACGAGGCAATTCGGAATACCAAGTCGACCTGTCATTTGCCAGAGCACTCTCCCGGATAATGAAAGGTGGAAGCAGAGAAATACAAATTTAACTTGACCTAAATCGTAGAAATGATGCCCCTGTTAGACAAGTCATTACCGAAGCTTATGCAGTGAAAATTCATACCAGTATAATGCACTTGCTTAGAATTGCATCTTGCCGGGTAGGAATAATATAGATGTATTAAGATAAAGAGCTGTGGCTAAAAGACTGGAAACCCATTGGGGAAACACAACTCTCGTTTGTTCGCAATAAGTTATAGTCTGACTTCTCCTATTGTGTTGGTCAGACGCACTCATTTCTCGCTTGATTTCTCAGCTAGACAATGCGACTTACCTACACGCTGTTTAATTCCTTATTCGTTAGTAAACACTTATCAACCCATGAAACGAAATGTCACTAGTGTGGTTTTATACATTAACTATAAAGTCATGGTCTTCGTGAATGTATTAAAGTATACGACACGAGACGCAGGCTTCTTTATTTCAAAATGACTCTAAAACAAATTTTCAGTGATCGTAAGTGTTGTATGACTTAATGAATGGATGCCAATAGATATAAACATTAGTCGCTTCATTAAGAGGCAGTCTTTTGACTTATTTGTGGCTAAAAACTAGCCAATGACTGGAGTCATTCCGTATATATCAACCTTCTAAAGTTTGTATCACGTTAATCTCACCAGCAAGCTCTACTGTTTGGCGCAGTCAGGTTCAGGGCACCTGATTCTGCACCCTATTTTGCCATTTTAATAATGTAGCTGTGTCAGTGCGTCAATGCATGGATGATTTTTGAGAGCTGTCCCAGGTTTCAAGTAATTTGGCCTATAAAGACTTATGCCTGCACTAATATTTTTGACTCACTGTACAGTGGAGATTAAATTAGCTGAGAAGGCAGAACTCCACTCCGTCGTATATTCATGGAAAAGCTGAACTTATAGAGATAGGGAAGTTGACAAAGTTTTTGGAAGTTTCTGGTGATTATTTGGTGGCAAAGACTCCGCACGAAATTGATAGCGAAGCGACAGATCAGTAACACGTACCATGCGATAAGACTATTTTGAAAAGTTCAGGAAACAGTAGAAACCGTGGAAAGAATAAGGAAGGTATATTTAACACGGTTACTCATTTTTCCCCTCTGTGTTATTAATGGCTAACCACCCGATGAGTAATCACAGGGTTCATGATACACATTATACAGAAGCGGACTGGTTCTCACAACTGGTCGGTTCTAGAGGAGGAAAAGAGTTGGGCTAATTTGCACCAAAATGATCACAGCATGATAACCATTAAAATGAAGTCATCTGGAAATCATTAATATAGTGGGAATAAGTCTGATGTGCAGAGGGGTGGTAAGCCCAAAGATGACTTTTTGTCCACACACTGAAATCCTTCTGATTTGTCCCATTCTTTTTCCAGACCTGGGATGGCTGCTTTAATTCCGAATCTTAAATGAGCTTTGAGGACAATTTTAAATAATCAGTTTCAATAAAGGCTGATACATTATAACCATTCATTAAATAATTTTACGTGCGAATTGCTAAATATTGCTGTTACTCATATTGGTTTCCAAAGTCCATCACTAACGTCATCCATCCGACGAATCTAGGCCTTCTCGTAAAGTCATTATAGTTGGTATTCAAGCCTTACCACGGCTAAATATAACCATATTCCATCAGACAAAATGAATTCATTTTCGTTGGCATCTTGGTTATATACAATCGGAATAGAAGGGCACAATAGAATAGGTTCACCAAAGCTATTTCCTCTTAGTGGATATGGGCTGGTCGATATGCCGTCTGTTTTTATCTCTTTAATAATATCATAAGGTATGTTAGCGAGATGGCAGTCCATAATTGAAATTTTTAGTCCTCATTTGGAAGCCTGAATGATGAAAGTAATCCTTGGGTCTCTTGAGGAAAGGCTCACAAATTGATATTCTAAAGATCACTGACAGAATTTCGGCTGTGGCCTCTGCAAAGACTGATAATTTGAACTAGTGGAGTTCGCCAGGTCAACTTTACGTCAGACGATTAAACTCTTCTTTCATGTGAACTATTATTTTACACCAGCTTATAAGCTGACACTAGTTCATTCACAGAATAGACGACTGAGCTTGTGGGTCGTTCTTGACAATTCGGTTCAGATAGCCTGCTACCTATGGATATTTGGACCAGAGACACTGCCAACAGTTTAGGCAGATGCAACATAATCGAACTTTCTGAATCGTTTTCAATAGTAGCTTATAATCAGCAGCACAAAGAGTCAGGAAACAGGTCATGCAAGGTAGAGAATATCTGCACCTGGAAACTGGTAGTTTGCACTAGCTGATCATCCAAGTTCAGTCATTATTCAAGAATCAGAAGTTGTATAAATAAATAAAGTGCTCTGCATAGATAAACTAATCGCACAATTTTCACTCTTAATCAGAAATTTGGACATTTATTTTACGAATTTCTTTTAAACATTCGTGTTTAAATGATGCTATGGTAACTATTTAAGGGCGTGCAGCCCCGCTATAGTCAAACTGCCGACCTACTAATTGAAGTGACATAATGCCTATGTACAGATTTGAAGGTGACGTAACGATTCATTGCGTATGTTCATGCTTTATCACTTATTTTGGAAAAATGTTTAGGTTTATTCTCCAGGAACATGGCTTATCAATCGAGATCATTTGTGTCTAACTGTTGAAGCATTTGGAGTTGTAAAACGGACGAGATTACATGATGCCATTTTTCCACTCCTAATACATGAAAAATTTTCTTTCGATAAGGTTTGTAGTCTATTCTGACTAAATACATAATTAGGTGTTCTATACGGCTCTTTCTGCCTGCAACGTCGTTGACAGACTAGAAGGTATATATATAATTATAATACCTTATTGTACGACAGATTTCACGGTGACAATTGAAATACGACAGATAGTTGACGCGTATCTGGGAGGAACGCTTTTAGCATATTATTCAACGAACGCTAAAGAGTTTTTCTCTCCCTGCCCAAAAATGTGCTTAAGAACTCTTGCAAAGAGAGATTTGATGATGCTTAAAACTGTTGATTTTCCGGTAATAAACTTGATTGTGTTAATTTTTTATAGGGAGTGTCTCCGCGTCTCGAATATTCTGTTAGCTCTGCAATCAAGTGTCATCCTGCTTCGTGCTGTTGTTCGTGCTGCGTAAGTTCCATTTTGTCACTACACAGCCTCTTTTAGTATTATTTGCCACAGTGCTCATGTTATGACCCGTAAGTTAACGCTCATAAATAATGATTTTTATTCGAATAATTTTAAAAAACACTCAAAACTGTTTCCAAAAACATCTAAGTACTCTGCATTTTGCTGTTCATAGACAAATCATGGGTAAGGTTTAATTATCAAGTAAGTTTCAACTTCATTTCAGAAAATTTGTTACAAGTATGTTACCTAATTGTCATATATCTATAGTCTTTCACATATCTTCTATAGTTGTTTTTCAGACTGTATTATAATCGGCATACCATGATTACACTTAAGTCCATAAATAGTTTTCAGGAAACATATTTTTCAGTCATTAACAGCTTCATTGGAATTAGTACTTGTTTCGGTGATCTTATTTACAGCATTCTGACACTGATTACGTAGAAACTCGATACAATGTCTGCTATTTGTCAACTTTCGTCACTGAAATGTATATTAAGTTTTAAATTCTGTTTAACTATAACCCAACCTATTTCATGCTAGTCAGAATACAAATAAATCCTTAATGCTATGAACCTAAGTGGTGCATGTTCTGTGAGAAAATCTTACACAGTCCAACTTGAATTTGAGTGATGAAATTTCGCTACACTTAGTCAAGTATTTCTTGTATGCTCTAGGAACGCCTTACATTTGATTAAGTTAAATGTAAGTGATATTTCATAAAATCTTCAAATAGTATTAGAAACTCATTATTGTATGTACTTTATGACTCCGCAAATAGTACCCTTTTTTATAAGAAATCAAACTGCAGTATTAATGCCGTTTAACTTAGTTCTTATACTTTTCCAAGAAATTTAGTTTCATACTCCTTGAAGTATGAGAGCAGAAACTTGTTGTAGTTTCAAATATTAAACAGTGGTATGTATTTATTTTGACTAAAAACTTTGAAAAAATGTTTAGCATGTGTCAGTGATCTGTTAGATGTCCAGTGCCGATATCTCATAATAAAAGATACTGAGCATTAAAATGCATATCATCTTTGAGATAATCAGCTTCTTGCACACAAACAGCTAAGGATATCATTAGAGTTTGATTTTACAATGGGTGGTAACTGTGTGAAAATGCTCGAGCTATCTTGCCTCTCTTGCTACTAATTTTATTTTAATAAGTGTTATATGTGACCTTGATCTAACAATTTCATATCTTTTCAGGTTAAGAAAACTGGAGAGCAATAGACGTTTTTTCCTCATTTATTGGTTTGGCTTTTAGGTGTATCTCTTAAATTTTCAAATTAATTAATAACTAACCACCTCTTAAATTATAATTTCAGGTGTCTCTACAAGCCACTGACACCAACACCAGGCTACCACCGGGCGACAGTCAACAGTGCTTTACGATGTCGTTATCCAGAACTTAACGAACCAAGGTACCTTATAGCATCCGATACTGCCAATCATATTGCTAAATCTCAAAGTGCAGCAAGAACTTCAAGAAGTCCTAGAAAAGTAAGGCTTCTAATAATTATCATCTTTTTATTGCATTTTAAATTTGAAAATAAAACCACTCGTTACTAACTGGTTACGTGGAGTTTTCTATATTATTAATTTATACTTATTCTGAAGACAACTTAGTATAAATAAACTTTGGTTTGATTTTCTCAGTTTGGTTAGTTCATAAATATTTTAGTGAGAGAAATGTCTCTCATATCAATTTTTAGAATACGCTTCCATAAATTCTAACACAAACTGCTTACAACTTTTCTACCACTTTTTTAAGAGGGACAATGTAGATTCAACGTACAGTCGACCAAGGTCATTGTCTGCTCGTAGATGTGATGGTAAGTATCCTTGGTGATGATTTGTTTTCAATCACGTTTGATAATTGCATCTATTCTGCTTTACCAAATTGACATGGTATTGTCATTATTTCTCATTAAAGCTCTCCAAATTACGTATTCTTTGAAGAAATTAAGAATACCATTCTTCTTTCTTTAATATAATTTATCATACTGCAAAAACTTATTGTGCTCGTCTCTAAGAATGTATTCAAACTAGTGGATGATTTTTTATCTATGGCAGCTTTTTAGTTCCTTCTCATTAATGCTGTGTTGATTATCATTGAAGGTAGACAAGGAATGTAATTAATCTGTTGTATGGCAGCCTAATTTTTTGAAGTCTCACTATGGATAACTGAAGTGACAAGTAGTGAAAATTTTAATAAAGGTTCATGTTGGCACTTATCGTTTCATCACAGAACCTTAAATAAAGGCTTTTACCCATTGAGGATGCCTTTGCATAATATCATTACTGGTATGAAAATGTTATCCACTTAGTGGCCGGTTATTTACGCTGACACTATCTTACTTAAAATTAATTCTGATGAAGGATCTAACGTGAATGTTTATTTGAAATCCGTGAGGTCTTTTCCTTATTCATGCCATACATCTGGCTAGCTTAGTCCTTGAAATTGAGCTTAAATTATACATACTTCACTGTCTAACCACGCTGTGGCCAATTCAATATACATAATTAAGCAATGTTTTTTCTTAATATATTAGTCGTCATATGTAAACGTGTTGGCTTAGTTTTATGAAATATTTTTACATGTATTCTGAATCCATGTATATTTAGGACGTCAATAAGATGGGGATTTTTCACTTCACTCTAGTTTATTCTTCAGCTTTATAAACTAATGAAACAATGTATGTGACAAAATTTGTTATGCATCATTTTTAGAAAATTTTTATACCTACAGGAAAAACTCAAACTACCACAAGACAGAAATTCCACTCATATACTGATAGACCATTTAGTTTCTTAACCCACAAAATAGAGATTCACGTAAACTTTTGTCAAGAAAACATCACCTGTTCTACCGAATGGTGGCTTTTTTCATTTAATTTGGTGTTGGGAAAGTGTAAGCGACATCAATTTCAGTTAAAACGTATCCTTTAGAATGTTTTTGTGAAGTAGACTATTGTAAAATTATAATCATTTCGTTAATTGATTAGTTCTTATTAATAATTTTAATAAACGCAACTTATTCTCACTTTGTTCATCTGTTTACTTGAACCAGGTTATGGAACAGTCTCAGTAAGTTATTTCCTACTAGTATATCGCTGTGCATTTTGGTTGCATTTAATTCTCTCAAAATCCCTGTTTTGTTTACCGTAGAGTAAAAGTGTAACTATTGTTGATGTCTGGAATCTTGCAGAATCAAAGAGCATACTTCAAGCCATACCCTTGCCTTATCGACGAGCAGTGAATCAAATATTATAATTCACCTACAGCTTTTACCGGTTAAAATACCTTAGACATTTTTGGAAATATTACAGATTTTAGAGATACACTCTGCCAGCTAATTTTATTAGTGGTTATTACCAACCATAATAGTGCATCTAAAACGCAACAAAATAATATACATCAAACAAGTGTATTCTATGGAATTACGTGACTTTTATTGTCCCTGCAATCAAATTAAAATAATTTAGCAAGTTGTTATTCTTAGGTATTTGTTTAAGGTTAATGAAAGATTATTCAGCTACTAAAGTAAAGATTTGGATATATTTCCTATAAAGTATGAATAATAAGATTCTCTCGGAGTTTCTTATAAGTGTTACAAAAATATAAACTGTTTTGAATACTATGAAGTAGACATTTAGAAACTTTGTTGAAATTGCTTAAAATTCAGTTTGTTTTATGTATGAAGTCATTCAATTCATTTTATTGTGTTCAATAAAAGCATAATCAAACCATGATAACTACTAATAAATTTCAAATGCTTTGTTTCGGAAAATATTATTTCAGCCTTTCCACTCTTTATCTACATGGGATCTGCGTGAGCGTACTATTCGTGATGCACAAGATCGCAGGTAAGTGTGTGTACTGCACAGACAAATGCGTTTGAAGTTTCTTTTTCACTAAAAATTACTACTTGAAAAGGAGACATTACAGTATTTAACTTTGAATCATTCATCTATTATTTTCAACAGTGGACTACAAACGCCCTTCTCAATCTAGCCTCTTTTCAAACAGATTTCAAACTGACTAAGCCGTCAGGCAGCCAGTTAGTCAATTTTAATGATTCATCCAAGGGTGACTTGGAGGAGGTCGTGTGAAGAGGAAATGAAAGCGTGTGGGCAGACTTGGAGCCAGGTGAAAACTCTAGCAGAGAACCGAATGCAATGAAGACGCACGGCTGAAGCCCTATGTTCCTCTAGGAATTAAAGGAAACAATAATAATAACGATTCTTCATGATATTGCTCATCATTATCTCCCAATTCAAGGTTATCATCCAGTTAATAAAGTTTCAATTACTTCACTTTCAAATTTGTGTTCATAATGATTAATTATATTGGCGCACATAAACTCCCGCCGAGTGGCTATTGAACAGAAATTGCTAGTTGATGAAAAGGAAGTGCTTATGCAGATTCTTACTGTTGTTTTGCATTTATGCTTAATTACATTTTCATATTTTTTCTCCACTACTACTAGTGACCGTTACTGGCATCTGTACAGATTTTGGCAAAATGAATACGATAGACTACGCTTACAAAGATGAAGCTGTGAAGATCTTGTCATCAAGAAATACTACCGTATCAGATTTTTCATATTAGATCTATTTAACATTCACAGGAATATATGTTTCTTTAGAACTAAATGAAAAACTGTTTAAAAGAAAAGCAGATAGATTTACAAAATGACTACTATATTCTACTTATGTATGCACTGTTCGCATTACTTAGCCTAACTTTTTGTGTTAGGAATTATCGTTCTATATATAACCAATATTTAGTAAATCAAGTTGCCGTACAAGACATAGTGGCTAATTATATTCGTGACTAACTCCATTTTTAAGCACATTCTCCCTGTTTTTATACACACAAACACAAAGTACATTAATGTCTCACCTGAAATGACAACTTAGAATTATACGAATCCTTTATACCAAAAAAGACTGTAATTTTTTACCACTTTATCATAATTTTTTTGATTTCTAAAAATCTCCGTACACCTCTGTCACACATTTGTGCCTTAATCGAGATAAAGAAAAGAAAAAGTTTAAGTGATTCGGAATCTACTAGTGAAATGCTTTTTCACGCAACAAAATGGAGAAGATTATTTATGAAGATTTGAGATCTTTCTATTTTGCAGAAGAAAATATTATGAAATAGAATGAAAATAAATGAACATATATATGTATTCAGATTTTGAATAACTTTCTCTTACAAAACATTGTACGGATCTATTTTTTATTTCACAATTATGTGAACTATTACTTACTGTGATATTTTAGTAATATGTTAACGACTAGGAATGTATGCTGGTATACATTCTACACATTTATTGTGTGCATTAGTAACTGTTTTATATCTACAAAATCACAGTATGATAATAAAATATACACTATTTTCATAAATTTATATAAAGTTGTTCTACCTCGTGTTTAATCTTCGTATATATCAGAGATAATGAATGGGAGCGTACACTGGGTTCAGAGATTTTAGTATTGTAAGCAAATCTTGGAAGTACTGTTGTCCGGATTTAATTTGTCTCCTGGGAAAATACACTTACAAAAGTGAGACAGAATGCCCAATAATCCAGGTAAAACGCGAAGGATTTTCGTTAGAGGCTTAGTAATGAAAGTGAGTAACTAGAAATTTTTAATCTTTTCTGCAACTATATGTATATATGTAGTTTTTAAGTCACAGCATTAGAGGCAACCGAGACCTTAAAAAGAGTGACACAGAAATTTAATAAAACATCACTCGATAATAGTTCTGTTTAGCTTTTTTATTTGAAAAGAGTAAGACGAAACCATGTTTATATAGTACAGCTCAATAACGTCAGCAAAATGGTCTTTCTTTGTGAATGCATTACACTTAGACCAGTTTTTTTGGTTAAAAATATCTCCACAAAACTATATTTACAGGGTGTAATCTTTTGTTATGGTAACTAAAATGAAATCAATAAGTCTAATACTAACTATATTGATTGTTTCTACTGAAAGGCAATTTAATCTGATAATTTCTAGTCTATGTGGAAAGGTATGAAATGTCAGTTCCCAGTGTTTCTCAATAATTTATGCACGTAAAGGGGTTATGCAAGCTGAAACGTTGAGGAGACTTCGGCGTTACGATAATCAATTAATTATTACTGTTTAGGATTGTATATTGTGAAGTATTCTGTTAAAGAGAGGTTTTTCAAATTAGATACATTTTTTGGTAGCTCAAACTTATGAATGAATGTCAGTCAGTTGATTATAGGCTCAATTCGTGTAGTGTACATTAAGATAACTGAACTTCACGCAGTATATCTGGATAGTAGGTGGATATTTAGATGTGTTTGTTCATCGTCACCCTAACTGTTGGGAAATATCAATCAATAGATTACTTCATATTGTCAGTCTGTTCTGATATGGAATTCGTCAGAAAAACGTTTGAACTGTCACTTGAGATAGGTATTTAATTTGCAGAAAAGTCTAGTTACTTATGTAGAATTTTTCACAAAATGGTTGTTATGCATAAGCCTACTTCATCTGAAAGCGGAGATTTGAAATTAATTCGTAAAACTGCATCTTCACTGAACTAGGACAGACGCCTCATTCATTATGGGCAAAATAACAGACATAATTAAAATACCAAAACACAGCAAAGTTGAATATAGAATTATGAATTTTCACAACGTAAAAAAGTGTATTTTCTGCCCAGAGAATGTTTACTAGAGAGTGAGGGAACCAGATGTTCTATTTGCAAACGCTTGTAGAAAAATAACACAGATATCCAGATCAGTTAGCGAGTAGAAGAAAAATGTAACCGTATGGAACTTACGGTAAACCTTCATGCTTCATAAGTCCTAGAAATGAAGACCGTTGTTGAAGCTAACGTTTTTCCCATAAACGTCAGTAAATGAGTTGTCGATTCATGAGTTGTAAATTGTAATCAGTATTATCTACTAGGCAGTGTTGATAAGATATTTTAGTCATGTTTTCAATGTAATTTTTTCGTACCAATCGATTTCCATTTGTCGTTTAGTTAATCCCAACGTGTATGTCTGAATAATATTCTTACTAACTACCTCGGTGACAGATATGAAGTCTTTCAAAGTGGAAGGTGATTTTATAATTTCTGGACAAATATGACAGACAAATGATAACACGTATAAAGTCTATTCAGGATGTGATTTCTGACAGTTACCTCCAGCTGACATCGGGCCCAAACCCAATTAAATAGATCTCTCTGACACATTTATGTATTAAATTTCAAGGGACAATGGTTTTTCCACCAGTGAAACACCTATATTTCTTCGACAGAAGGCAAGAACTACTACAGTTACAAGGGATCACACAATTATTAGGAGAATGGTGTAATGTTCACAATTCTTTTCAAGTGTGTATGTAGGTGAATTTAGAAGAAAAAAGGTTTTTACACTAATCTCCAAAGAGAGAGAGAGAGAAGAATACAGTGTGTGGTTTTTGTAGAAATGTAGAGATTTCCACCAATTTAATTACTAAAATATTAGTCAGTAATTTTTATTATAGTTTAAAATGCTTTGATGCATGCACTATTCAATAGTTTATTTTGCCCCTTAATGCACACTCAGTAAATGCGTGACATATTTCCGTTAGTCTTACTTATTTCTTGTGAGGGTAAACCGATTATACCTGAGGAAACAATATACACTGAAATACTTGTTAAATAAAAGATTAACATTTGATGCACTTCTTTAAATTACCCTGTGGATGAACTAGTTAATCATTACTAACATTTAAAGCATTTCAACTAATAAATCCGTTCAATATTCACTCCGACTCTATCATAAGAACACAGGTAAAAGGAGGTAACATCTATCGAAGCAATAAATTGACCAGATATGTTTGTTTTTTGACATGGTTGTGATTTAGGTAGATCTCGTTTATCTGTGCCTCAACATTCCTCAGGTAGAAAAGGAATGCCGTTCTGTGTTCATATGAGTTTCAAAAAGTTTAAATCTTGGCAATATCATAAATATCATTGATTCGGTTGCTTCTATATACCTTGTAGTGTCCGTCTTCACGGCAAAAAAGTCTATTTATTAAAAAGGAGTCTAAATAATGAAAACCAGACTTGTGTGAAATGGGAAAAACTGAATTTGATTTTCAACCAAAACACTTTCAATCACGAATATGTATAACTACTGAATATTCGGTCTTCCACCGTAATCTCTGAATGTGTTCCAAAAATAAGTGAAATCGCACTAGAGTGAGCATAACTGCTGTATTTAAGTCCGTTGCTACTCAGTCTCATAAGGTCAGTGCAATATAAACTTATTCAGAAATGATGGCAGTTTTCATGCAGCTTTCTAAATGACTATACAAACATTCAATAAACCTTTTGTATATTGCTAAACAACTAAAATCAGCTTCGGAAAATTGGGAATTTGAAGTATATTAGACCCACAAAATAAAGTATGTTAACCAAATATTCACTGCCATGCGTCACTGTGCGTCGGTGGTACAGTGGTTAGGACTCTCGCCGACCATGCACATGGTCCGGGGTTCGATCCCCTGCCGGCGCACACCCGATATCTATGGTCGGCCTGAATTTGGGCTACCGATATCCATGCTGAAAATTCCATACTTGTACTGAAAATACGGTGTGGAATCAAGCTGTAAATCAAAATAAAAAATAAAAAGGCATTTCTCAAGACAAACTAATGTGCCATTTTAAGAAGTGTATGTCGTCAGACGTGTTGATTTCTCAAAAAGTATTTTCCTCAAAACGACTAGAAAAATAATTAGGAGACGTAATCATGAAAGAATCAGATACTTCTTTGATGTTTGTCAGATAGACAATGGTAACAGTCATTTTACTTTGGGCCAAATTTTCTCTTACCTTACTAGTTTCTTAGCATATGTACTGCGAAATCTCCTTACATGACACTTTCAAATATATTCGCAATCATAAGAATTCATGGTAAGACTTTAAGTGTTAGAATCATTGATACTTTAAGGATGCCAAAGTTGATCTTAGAGATACATTCAGTCTCTGTTTCAGACAGTATTGATACTTTGTCACTGATGTTATCCAATGCAACTTTTTTTACATCAAAAACTTACTGAAAATTAATAGTTGGGTTAATGTTTTACGTGAGTCATAAGTGTACCGTTTAAAAATTAGGCTTTGTGATTACCGCCCTCTGACACATATTACTACGATAAGTTTTGATAAAAAAGAAGATAAAGAACTGGTAAACAAGTTCAAATGGCAGTGTCGTATCACAGCCGAGGTGGAAATAAGCTTTGATTTCATCTACAAAACTGGTATGATTTCCGAAACATATTCCATTTAAAATGCTTGTCAGCCTTTAATTAAGCGGAATAACCAGATAACCTGGAGTTTCTAGTGAAAAATAATTTGCGCTAGTTCGATTCTACCTAATATTCAAGTTTAAGCTGACAGAATTCCTACTAAATATCCAGAAATCCCAAGTGATCAAACGTCTTTTTACTTAACTTTTTACATCACCTTTCGTATCTCTTTAAATAGTTTAAGAAAGACAAATGTTGTTCTCAGATTTTCC